AAATTCCAAGGACTGACCAAATGTAATTAAGCTATGCAGCTCATTTCAAAGCAGGATGTGAATTTAAATAAGGCTCAGCTTTGTGGAAGCTGCCTCCCTCTGATGGACATTTCTGTTTTGGATTTAAAAAAAAAGAGCCTAATTTCTTACTATTCACTCAGCTCTGCTATTAATACAGACATCCAATCAGAGTCATTGCCAAACTGCAGGGAAGTTTTTTATTTTTCTAAAGTGAAAGAATGCAAAAAATGTCAGAGAATGAAGGAAGAAGAGAGGTAGGAGCTTAGAGGTGTTTTGCTCAAAATCTGATTATGGTTCCCCAGGGAGCAGGATCCAGAATAACCATCTGTGTGAGTGGGGAGATGCCTCGAGCTAATCATTACATGATACCAAGCAGAGAATTGTGTTTGAAGTTCCAGATTGTTCAAGTTTTTAGAAACTTGAGGCAGGAAAACAGGTCCATGGGATGCCACCTGGAGCTGTCTGCTGGAGGTGAAAATTGTATCCATAATTTAAAAGAATGAATCTTAACTTAAAGAAAACCAAGTTTTCTCTACAAAGAAATATGTGCCAAAGCCTGGTTAATTCTAACAATCATATATATGTGAATCATATATTCTGGTCATACAGATAGAATGAAAAACTGGCCTAAATTTAGGTGCTCCAAATTATTTCTGATTTTTATTTCATTATTTTATTATTTTTATAGTTTTTTAACAGAATTACTTTTTTTGTTTGTTTCCTGTGAAACACTTCAGGGATTTAGGACTCCCCTTTTCCCATCTGGTAGGAAATGCTATCTCATAGATTTTGAGTTCTTCTACCCCGTTTTCTGATGTCGTGGGCCTTCTGCAGCATGGATGATGGTAGAAATTGAGAAAGGGCTAGCTTGAACCTGAGTTTTCTGCTTCTGAAGGAAGTAGTTTTTTAATTTTCATGTAGAAGATAGAGGGTGTGGAATTAAAACAATATATAAAGAGTCACCACTTGAGTTTTGTAAACAGCTTAACCATAGAGCTGTTAATACACTTGCTCATTTTAATGCTTTGTTGACCAGCAGATAGTGCCAAATTCTTGATCATCACTGACCTTAACCAAACCAGATATCTAAGGGCAGAAACTGGATCCGTTCTGCTCTTAGAAGCATAACTGTGTTTACCTAAAGATTCTGTGTGGCAAATGGGGTCATTTATTCTAAATTTAAGTGTCTCCCTTGGTGAAAGAAGGTTTTTTTGGATGTAAATTTTCATGGAATCATAGAATGACTTGAGTTGGAAGGGACCTTAAAGATCATCCAGTCCAACCCCTCTGCCGTGGAAGGGACATCTTCTACTAGACCAGGTTGCTCAAAGAAAGCTCCATCCAGCCTGGTCTTGAACACTTCCAGGGATAGGGATGGGATTTTGGACTTAAGGACCTGCCTCCATCTAGATACTATTAAATTCTATCTGCATCTCCCTAAAGTTCTTGCTTGAGTCTAAATTTTATTTTTAAAAAAAACTAAGATACTGGAGAGCACCTGGACATCTCTCAGTACCTCACCCCTTCCCTCCTGTCAGCCCAATTCCTCACAGATAACACTTGAAGATAGTGAAAGTTTTAACTAAATCACTGGGACTGCCATTGTTTTCCTAGAGTCAGAAATTCAGAGAAGATAAATGATACTGGGTGGCTTTTGTGGCACATAATGCTTTTCATCCACAAAGCATGTAGCTAATATTCATTCAAAACCAAAGGGATTTATGCAATAAAATTCTGCTTATAGGCACTTTCCAAATCACCATAGAAAATGTTGTTAGCCAAAACCCAGTGAGGCATTGACTCACCCATTAAACACCTTGTAGATGTTTCTCAAATATATAATACCTGGATTTTTGAGGAAATTAGAATTCCAACAGTCAAGAGTTCATAAATTTCAGGGCATAGTTAATTTTGTCTTTACCCTTGGAGTTATTCACTTTAGACATGCAATACCCTTTGAGTGTCTATGCATCTACATTTAAAACCAGACACTTCAATGTCTCTGCAATACCTCTGACATCCTTTAGACATCCATTTTAGGATTAAATGACCCCATCCAAAACCCCACACTTTACTAGGAGACAGCGGTGGTCTAATCAAAGGTAGGTGTTGGAGACAACCAGTTACAGTCAGATGAATGCTCCTCAAAGTGACTACAACTGCTAGAGCCTAGTGCCTGTGCTGTAAGTAATCGTGCACATTTTGTCTACAATAAATACATATTTTTTCTTTTTTTTTATTTTTTATTTTTTTTAAATTTTTTAGGTTATTTTTCACTTTTAAAAATATTTTGTGAGGTTTTGTTATGCTATAACAAAGAGACACAGAAGATTTTTCCTATACTGGTAAATGAATTGGGAATGGGACATGGGATCAAGTACTGCCTATGAGTACAGTCCATGCTGTTAGTGCAATCCTCAGGACAAGACTGGCCCATGCCAATTGTAAGGGCTGGAGCAGGAAATAGCATCAGCTAGGGACTGTTCCCACTAAGCAATTTGAACTGGGGAAGGTGGTTAGGCATGTACAGAAACAGATGTGAGATAGGAGGTGGTTCACTCTGTTTGACCTCAGTGCTAAAAAAAGATCCTTGGCTAATTTTATTGGATAGTATAAACATGGGTATTTAATCTCAAAATGCTGGAAGGCATTGCTGAATACTTCAAATGGCTATGACATAACATGGAAACTTGGCATTTGCTCAAAATAGGTATGGAAGTAGTGATACATGATTATGATGCCTTACAAGGCCATAGTCTTTTTTCTCACTCACATAAAGCTCCTTCTTTTCCATCTTCTTGCATAGTGCAGTGAAAGACATGGAACAGGCTTGTATTCTTCAAGGCAGAATCATCTGTCAAGTATTACTGAGGTGGAGATATTGATTTCACTTTTGAGGCATGATGAAATGAGAATGTTGGAGGTGGGCTGAATGGTTCGATGCAATGTCAGACACATTCCTTCACTTGACATCCAGTGTAAGAGAAAACAAAAAAAAATGCATGTTCACCTTTATTAGTAAATACAGATTGAAAAATCTGATAACATGAATTCCTACAGACAATGGCTCTTCACTTATTTGGTACCTTCTATGTTTTTGGGCTCATTACTGCACAAATTTATGGGAAATGAGGAAGCTGTAGGATTTAGATTTTAAACTTTCTCTTCACACATCATTTTTGACAGCTCTGATAACCTGATTTCCTGCCACCTCCCTGTGATTTCAATTCAAACCTGACTGAGCACTCAGAAAAAAAATTTCATTTGGATGAGTCTGTAAATAACTTTGTGTACTTCTCTATCTTTTTCTGTATTTGCATGATTCCACTCATTTCAGTGAGTGCTTACACAGCTTTGAAAACTTAGGCACAAATTAATTAAACCAGAGCTTAGCTCATGAAGTGCTCCATATCACTCATGAAAGTCAATGTGTCTGTGATGCAGTTTCACAGAGGAAGATGGAAAACTCAAGAGGCCTGATGGATACCTAGACCAGTACAACACACTGTAGCTGGATTTAATACTGCACCCAAACTGAGATAGCTCAGTTAAAAACGGCAGGGACTGTGTTTGCTTTGTGTTGGTGGTGAAAGAAGAACAGCAGTATCCCGTGGCATCAGCAAGATTCAAAGAGCATGAGAAACAAGCAAAGGGACTTCTCTTGAATTGTTAATAAATTACGGAAATTATGATGTTACAAAAGGAACAAAGATAAAATGGATCATTCTCGCAACTAAAGAAAAGAGAGGAAACTGAAGACTGTGCATTTATCAGAAGAGTCGATTCTACTGCTGAGAACATTTTGGCAATGACAAAATTAAATACCACGAATTATGGAGATTATTTAATGTGTGTAACTGCTTTGAATAGAAGAAGGTACAAAGGCATGTCAAAAGATTGCAAAAATTAGCAGCTGAATTTAGCAGCCAGCAAGGAAAGAAGGCCATGTGCAAGTCATCATGACAGCATAAACCAGTAAACAATTGGAGAGGGCTGAGATGTGGAGGGTGGATGAGGAGCTGAGCTTTGGATTGATGCAGTAAGAGAAGACTGCACGTGTATGTGGTGAAAAAGCCTCTCAGAAAAATGGACAGAGAAATCACAGCAATCATGCTCTGCAGAGGCTGGGAGGTGTGGGAGCAATCTAACAGAAGGCTGCAACAATCTACAAAAAGTGGATGCTAGAAGAGAGCTTGTTACTGAAATTGAAATATCAGAAAGATTTGGGTTTATGTTCTTACAATGGTTTTGATGCAAGAATACTACCCTGCTGTATGTTTTCCATAAAAAAATAAGTTTTAGCACAAATTCTGATACTAGCACATGTTTGCCTGCAAGTTAAATCTTCTGTTTTATAAATGCTGTTATGCTTCCTCACAGAGTAATAGTTTGAATGATTTAAATCCTTCTCTCCTTTGTAGGCACAGCTCTTAGTTAGAATTCATCCCCATGAGGTACCATGATGTTCCCACTTGCAGGGGCTATACCTCAAAGGAATGTCAGCAGTGTAGCAGAGCCCTTGAAACAGGAACATGAGGCTACTGACCCATTATTCCCATGGGACACCCATAAGAGTAAAATCACTGAGTTTCAGAGTATTCGGTTTTTTAACTTTGGATATTTATCTTTAAAAGAAACCTTTTATGGGAAAAAATGGCTTTAATCAGCAATCCAGTCTTGTGTTGGTGAAAAAAGTGCAGTGTAAATTCCTCAGATACTTCTGGAAAAGAGATCTGGTAGGGTAAGAAATGCCAAAACACAGGTGGTATGAAACAGAAAGACAGTGAAGTCACTACTAGTGGCCAAGTTGTGTTGATCGATGAGATGGAAGACGATGGAATCAATGGCAGTGGGTAAATGGGAGGGGGAGGAGGAAGGGGGAGAGGAGGAGGAGAAGGGAAAAAGCACAGCATGACAGCATTTCATATGGTGCAGCTGGGTTCAGAAGAGCTCTGAGCACACCATTGTAATGAACACAGTGCAAAGTGCAAAAGCTTTTTATTTCCTTCTTTTCATTTTCAGAAGCCAGATGATCCCATGCCTCCAAGACACCTAATCAGAGTTAAAAGAAAAACAACGAAAAAAAAGAACAAAAAGAAAAAAACCCAATAAATTCCATTCATGGATAAATAAAACTGTAACTATCCTTCTGTATCCCCAGATCTATTAGTGTAAGTATTTTAAGTCAATTTATTGTTTTCGTCATAATTTCTAAGTGTGGCATGAAAGTAATTAAAATAAAGAGGTCTGCAGAGGCATCTAATTCCCTCTTCCCAGCTGTCTTCTGAAGCTTAAGGCTGGTTACAGCCACAAACCAAGCAAAGAAGTTTGCTAAACATTTATTTCTTATCTATATTGAAAAAGTGCCCTTTTTTTCCCCTCACAGAAAAGGGTGGTTGTGTCTCAGTTTGTCAGTAGAATTCCTTTTGACCTAAACCCTTGTTTTATACAACCATTTTTATTCATAATTGTAGCTATGGGGCCTGATCCTATTTTCACACTAGAAAAGGCAGTCGATTTCAATCCAGCCAGTCGTGGTCAGACTTCTGTAAATGAGATTAGAATTGAGCCTATGTCAAACACAGTAGAGCCAGAAAAAGATTTATTTCTATCATTGAACTCTTCGGGTGAGGATTTGTCCAATTAAAATGTATTATCTATTATACTTTGGACAGCATGACCAAACCAAACTAACACTCAAAATTGGATGTTTGGAAGGAAAAGATTTCTGGTTTTCACCTTCAGCGTAGGATCATCTGAGAGCTTTTGTTGATCTGAGAACTTTTTTGCAATTCTGCAAAGATCATGAATACCTGCACCAACACCTTTGGCAAAAGGCCTGGGTTGTGTTCCGAAGAAAAGAGAGGATGTTGTTCTTCAGGGTGTTCTGAGTTTGAAGCTTCACACCCTTTTATAGCCATTGATGTGTTGGCTAGAAAATTTATTGCGTGTCCATGCCTTCAGGAAATTTGTGTTTCTGGGGTGAGCAGGGGCTGGTGTTCACTTCAGGCTTCTGCAAGTGATCTACCAAATCTTGGATTTCTCCTGTCCGCCTTTCAACAGTAAGTAAAATAATCCCCTTTCTTTAGCACTAACGAGCAAAAAGATGCAGTCAAAACAACCAGCCTCACCCACAGCAGTGCCTATCCCCATTTCACCGAAAAGCTCAAAACTTACTAGAATTACTCTTGCAAACTTCCAGTGCCACACCCAAAGTGTTCTTAGATAAAACAACTTGAGACATGGTTTTCAACAACTGCCGCTATGTCTGCCAGCTATTTCTACAGAGCACTCCCAGGAGCAGTGTTGCCAGACCTGTTTATGAATTTTCTTGCTTGACCTTGAAGGTTTCCACTATGCCTCTAATGGAGGTGACTATTGTGCATCCCACCATTTACCCTGGATAGTCCTGCCTGGACATCCACAGTAAGTGTCTAAAGTATTAGCATCAGTAACTTCCTAAATGCCCAGTGAAATATCAGGAGTTTTAAGGGATTCTAGGCATCCACAAATTGTTGAGAGTCTGAGAGTAAGCTTTTTTCGTTCCTCTTTCATTCTTCTTCAGTATGTTGACCTTTATTGCTTTCCCTTGGCTTTCCCTCTGTTCCTTCAATTTTTTGAGGTCTCTCCAATGCTCTGAGTATTTGATCCTGTCTCTCAAAAGACACAGAAATCCTGATCCTCTGGTGCTCTCGGGGACTTTTGCAGGTCCCTTTTGCTTCCACTGAAGTCTTAAAATAAAACTCCTTTTCATTATACTTTGGCATTCATTTTTGGATATGATACTAGGATAGTGTTTACCAAAACTATAAAAAGAACATGAAAAGCTGATGTGATGAAGGAGGAAAGTAAACAGGAACACAATACTCCTTAAACTAAAACCTTTTAAACTTAGATATTGCATTCTAAAGATGCCAACAGTGCAGATAAAAAGAAATCACATCAAGAAATGTGAATCACAGCCCCATTCGAAGGACTGCTCTGTAATTAGGTTTTTTTCCTCCTGGCAGATTCACTGAATAACTGTTGAAAGAAACACTGATGGCATTGGAAGCAGGGGTGCAGTGCATATGCCACCACAGCTCCATAGACATCCTGTTGCCCTGCTGCAGGGTCCCAGAGTCACATCATTACACTGATACCCACTCTGAAAGGCAGATTTCAGTGTGAAATCAGTTGTTCTTTTGTGAATCCAGGAATGGTTAAAGAGGTCGCTGACCCTCAAGCTCTCCACTACCCATTCTAGCTGACAAATGATAAATGATCTTTAGAGTAGTCCTAAATCCATGCCAGTGCAAAGTGAAACAGGTTTTATAATGAAAACCTCTCCGTCTTTTCAGTCCACATCTCACTCAAGTCAATTAAGAGCCATTTTTCAGCTCAGGGTAGGAAACAGCTCTTGAGGAGGAAGGAGTGAGTGATGCCAGTCATCTCATTTACTGTTCATACCCACTCATCTGAGAGATGTACCACAGGAACTGACAATTGCTGGTGTCAGCTACCCCTTGCAGGGCAGTTCCATGACAGTCAGCTTTTGCATAAGCAAATATCAATTATTTGTATCTACTGCAGCTTCAAGAAGATTAGCACAGCTTTTTAGGCTGTGCATTATGACTTCCAGACATGAGCTAGAAATAAAGGAAGTCAAGAAATAGGATATATTGCAGTATTGGTAGGCATTAATTATTAGTCATATGGCATTTATAAAATCAGTATTTAGAGGGATAATTAGTTGGTAGTTTACATTCACAATTTCATATTTACCCTATCAGGTGGTCAAGGTACTGGGAAGAAATATTAACTAGTTTACCTGTGTTCAGAGACTGCTTTGTGAAGCTTTCAGGATATCTGAAGTAGGAGACTCAGTCTAATCACAAGTTCAGTGCCAGGGAATGGCAACTCAGCACAAAAAACTTCTCTTGTTAGTGTATCACCTAGAATACAATCATCTGACTCTCTGTACAATTATCAGGTGAGTTTTGCATTAAATTATTTTAATCTGTATAAAGTAAGTAACTGCAGACAGTGGTATTCTAAAAATAGTAAACAAGTGTATCTCGTACAAGTTGGCTTTCTTATCAGTGTGGGAAAAGCCCCAACTCATTACTGATCTTCTGACCTTCTTACTTCCCACGTATTCTCATCCTCTTTATTTCCTAATAAGTAGCAACTTTTCATTGACATTTTATCAAGCGGTTTTCATATTTTTCTTTTATATTATGCAGCTTGAATATTGAAGCATACAAAATGTTAATGTTTAAATAATAGGCTTGATACATTGAAGATGCATATCGACATGTAAGAAAGAGTTCAGACCACTTAAAAAATAGAGATCTAAAGCACAAAACTGGTCAGCTCATCTCTGTCAGTGAGAAACAGGTTTTCAAAAATACATTACGCAGAAGCCTTCATCGAGGCTGCTGATGTGAAAGTGAGACCACGTGCTCCTCCCTGGGCTGAGTAGGCATCCTGCTTTCATTGCCCAGGAGATGAACAATGTAGAACTCTATTAATCACAATAAGGATTGCAATAAATCATAACAAGGATTCTGTCCCAGCTGAGGAATGAAGCAAAATCCGAATCTGGGTCTGAATGCAGAGAGAAGTTAATTCATCAGGGAATTGTCAGCAAAGAATATGCCTTAATCTTAATTACTGGTAGACCACCATTTTAGAGCCCTGAAACATGTCTAGATGTTAATACAAAAAGCAAACAAGGTGTCAGCATGGAATGACATGCTAATCTCACTTTCTGAGGTGCTGCTGGATACAAACAGCAATGTTGCTTAAATTCATAGGCACCTCAAAGCAATAAAACATCCTCTTCTTTATGTGCTGTGCTGCCCCATATGTAACATATGAGTTGAAAGAAAAGTGCTTCTCTGACTTCCATACTGGAAGCTTAGGAATCTCAGGATGCTAAGGAAATGGTGGTTTTTAGTTTACCTTTCAGCATGATGGGGGACAACATGAGGTTTCTTGCACTCAGACAAAGTAATCTCTGCAATCTTGTGGTCAGTTCTCTTGTGAGATATTAAGGCAAATACAGTTGACAGTTGATGATTTTTATATGTAACAGAGCTATCCAGATTTCCTTTATAATAACGGAGAAAGGATTAGATACTTGTAGGCTGAAATGCCTTTTGTCCTAAGAGGTGTTAGATGTTTAATTCTTTTAAAGTCCAGATGAGGACACAAAGTTGATGAGGGGGCTGGATCATCTCTAGTATGAAGACAGGCTGAGTGAATTGGGGTTATTCAACCTGGAGAAGAGAAAACTTGAAGAGAGGTCATTGCAGCCTTCAAATTCTTAAAGGGAGCTTGTAAAAAAGAGAGAGAGCAACTTTTTACATACGTAGCTAGTGATAGGACAAGGGGGAATGACATTAAACTGAAAGTGGACAGATTTAGGCTACATATTAGAAAGAAATTACTTATTTGGAGTGTGATGAGACATTGACACAGGTTGCCCAGAGAATATGTGGCTAACCATCCCTGGAAGTGTTCAAGAGCACATTGGATGGGGCCTTGAGCAATCTGGTCTAATGGAAGGTGTCCTCTCAAGGAACACCAGATGAACTTTAAGGTCTCTTTGAACACAAACCATTCTATGATTCTATAAGAGTTTTTCTTCAAGCAAGAGTGTCTCCTTGATATGTGATGCTGAATAAAGTTTTTCAACTTATATTTTTAACCCAAGGTGAAAAATCCATGAATTTGAGTGTGTGAAGTACCTGAACTGTCACAGACACCAGCTAGTACTAGTTTCTGACCAAATTTAAGCATGTTTATTTAGGAAAAAGAAAGAAATAATCAGTCAAAACAGTTGTGCTTTCTTGCCAAGCTCCTTGCCTCTAAGTGCCATCTTCAGCAGTGTATTGTCAATGTCAGTTATTTCTTTGTCTAAATGCTATGCCAGAAAGTCTTCTATCACTTCAGACTTTCATCTTCAAACATACTCAAGTGATCTGTCTTCTCTTCCCAATTTCTGCCATCATTACTCCCCTCTTTTGAATATTAAAGTGTTGGAGCTCATGCAAAGCAATTATTGCTCTTTTTCTAACTTGGTAGCTTTTATTTGTAGTTCATACTGTTTTCCTTTCAAATTTTTTTCCTCCCAAACTTTTTTTCTACTTACTGCATTTTTTATTTTACTGGCGACTGTGAGCTCTTCCTTCCTGAGGTGACCTATAAAGGATTTTTTTCTTTAATTGGGCTTATGCTTTGTCTCTTTCTGGAACACAAAGATATTCTTTCTTTTTGTTTGTTTATTCACAGCAATTATTTTTTCTTGACTATTTCAAGAATGTCAGTGCTGGCTTTTTCTGATTTTTCTGGATGTTACTTTGAATCTTCCCAAGGACAGTTATTATTAGCTCTTACATTGCAGCTGACTGGATATGGGTGTTGAAAGTTTAATCTGTTATCTCCATAAAATATAATTACTTGTACCCACCAACCTTGAAACGAGCCCATATTTATATAAAAAACCCTAACTATTTCTCAGTGAAAGCAAAATTTACTAGCTATCCTGTCTCCTCCAGAAATGTTCTCCAAAAGGGCTTGTTTCATTAGATATATATTATCTTGCCTAAATCTCAGTTAGGCTTTCATATCTATATACATGTGCCTAATATTAATAAAGTAAAATCTTACAACCTCCCACTCCCTCTCCCATAAAGAAACATGTTGTACCTAGCTTCCGTCAAAACTTCCCAAGAAATATTTCACCCACACTGTGCAGTTGTCTAGTTTGTAGTTTCTTATCCCAGTATTAGTGCTTGAAACTAGTCACGTGAATCAAACCTTAAATGCCTATTTTTCTTCTCTGTGTATAAAGACAACAAGTAAATCTTACAGCAATGTGCTTTGTTAGGTGAGATGAGTTCCATGTCATGTCTTCACCCCCTGTTTTCCCTTCCCCAGTGCGTTCCTCTCGTCCTTCCTAAGCAAGGCTAGATGGTTTGCATCAGAACACACAACGTGTGTGTGGAATGCACCTGTGCCACCACAACAAAGCATCGCCTAAAAGAAAAGCTCCTTATGTCTCTGTTGCTTATATTTTCTGCAGCTTATTTTAAAACTGTCTTTGGTGACTGTCAGGGCCTTTATATCAGGTATTTCTTCTCACTCCCCAGGTTTATTTTTTTGCCCAAATGGATTCTCATCTGTCTCTCTTCTCAGTTTGTTTTATTACACTGGACCAAGATCCTCTAGTCCTCTCTTAACAGAGAGACCTTTTTCCTCCGATCTTTTTTGTAGACCTTAGTAATTCCTCTTCCTTGGTGATGCATAGCCAAGAGACTATTTGATCTAAGTCCTTTAAAGGGGCTTTCTGCAGGGCGTTAATTATCCCTCTCAATGGATGTTAATACTTTACAGTTAAGTAGGAAACTTCACATCACTGAGAAGGAGATTCATAGGACTGTTCTACTCCATTAAATGTCTCTCCTCAAATTTTGCTACTACAGCTTTCATCATAGAATCATTTGGGTTGGAAAAGACCTATAAGGTCATTGAGTCCAACCATTGAGTCTAACTTTGTTGCCATTTGCTGGAATAAACAGCATCCTGTGTTAAAATAAAGGGATCTGTGGTTTGAACACCAGTGAAGAGAAGTAGCTGTTGAATTGTGTCCTCGCCTGCTGTGGCCAGTGAGCTCAACGACAGAGATAAATGGAAGTTGGCAGCATTACTGGATCCATATTTCAAGCAAAAATTGAAACCTCACTTCCGCAAAGTGCTGACATGGCTATGGAGAAAGATGAACCATTAAGTGCAGAATCCGTCCTCCCTCCTTTACCTGCTGTGCTGAGTGCTCTGCAAGTTGGTGTTTCACATACCAGTGGAAAGACCCATGCGATGAAGCTAAGAGAGTCTTCTGAGTGGAAAAAAAATGAATCAAGGTCAAAAGCTCTGTGAGGGACAGTGAGCCTAGGGCAGAGGTGTTTGGGGCTGTAATCTGACATGAGACATGGGCTGGGCCATGCAAAGCATCAGTCAAACACAAATATAATTCAGTTGTCTAAAAATGTGTTCAGTGCTATTTGGGATACCCTAAAATAATGTGTCCGGACTGCAGCTGCTGACCAAAATGGGCACAGGTTTCCTGTACGTGCAACGTGGTGTATCTCAGCTCTGTGTTGATGTCTTAGATGTTCTATTGCATCTCATATGCCACCGAGCAATTATGTACTCAGAAATGAGCTGATCCCCTAATGCACCAAACTCCTAAATGTAACCTGTTAGATGTATCTGTCTTCAGCTCAAGTTGAATCCTACATTTGTATTGGTCAGCTGAATCCCAGCTTGTGTTTGCGTCTTGCAAAGAGAGACTGTGGGCTGACCTGAAGGTGTGGAAACAGAACAAGAGATGAAGACTTCTGTGCTGGTCTGTTGGAGGACATAGACACACTCCTTGAGATCAAAACATTGTCATTCTTGATTTCTTGATTACTTGGTCCTAACTGGAAGGACATTTGTTTCTATATAGTGCAGCAAATGATATCTGTGAACAAGGCTCTGGTTACTTTAATCCTCTCTATTCCAGGAATAGGTTGATCAAAATATAATTTTGTATAATAATTTGTTTCTGTTTTGTCTTAGAAAGAGATTCATTCATCCATCAAGAGCAATTTACAGATTTGTCCTACATTTCCAGATAATCCTTTCTGATTTCAAGTAAGTGGTTGACTGCTAAGTGACAACCATTTGCAGATGTCAGTGCCTTCAGTTAGGTTTCTGAGTGATCGGCTATTCCGAAAATTAGGCACATATTATCGAATGGAGATATTCCTACTTCCTGTACATGAAATGAAATATCAGGATAGTCCATGTAGGCCATGTTTCCTATGTTTTTATCCCTACACCCATTATTTTCATGGAGAAGTTGGCCATATTTCATGTATGCAAGCTGTTCAATTGCTTACACAAACAGTAATGGTGATATCAAATTATTTGGAAATGCCAAACACATTTCACTGTTTAATATCACATTTAGGAAAGCCCAGAAGAAAAAGTCTAGAGATTAATCTCAAGAAGTATATTGATTTAAACTTTATGTCTAATTAGAGGGGGTTGGAGCTATAAAGCTAATACAGCCATGGTTTTTCAATATTTCCCAAAACCAATGTCCCTTTGTGCTGCCTGCTGGGTGATTCTTCAGAATTATGTATTACCTTCGGCTCCATTCAATTTTCTACCATACGACCAGTGTCTGACAACAACAAAAATGTGTGCTCTTAAAAGTATAGCCATTACAGTATCTTCTTTTATTGTCTGGTAGTTACAGTATGTTCTATTTCATTACATGAAAAATAGAGTCTGTCTCCTCTCTGATTAGATATAGAGGAAAGATGGGTACTGTATTTTGTCAGAATTTACAGGAGGTGATATGGGTAAACGAATAAAATATTCTAAGTTAGTCTTTACCTTGTTTCTTCCTTTGCTGACTATAGAGATCTCTTCATATTCTTTCCTTTTATATAACAGTCTTAGCCAGAAGCACATTTTTCTTTTTCTCTGATCTTCATCATTTTTAGTGGATGCTGGAACTTATGACAGTGGTTCCAGGTCTTACAGCAGATGGCAGCTTTCTGAGCAGGCTAGGAGGAGGATTTTTCTTGCAATCCCTGAAAGAGAGTATTTAAATAAAAGGGTTACAATTGATGGCTAGTCTTGACCTCTAAAATCCTATAAAATCATCACTGACTGAGAACTGTCTTCTCTTTTGCTCTGTTCATGTATATGGAAGTGAAGAAGTTTGGTGATAGACAAATCTAAACCCAAAAACCAGAAGTGCAGATTTTTCCCCCCACTTTAGCCTTTAGGGCATACATTTGTGTCCTACTTCCCATAAGGGTTTGGGGTTCTTTCGCGTGAAAGCTGCCATAGGAGAACCAACACAGGAAAAATGTGTGAGTGAAAAATTCCAATCTATCATCTATTACTAGCTCTACAAAAAAAGTAGCCCAATGGAAGAACATCAGAGTCTACATTTCTAAAGGAGGCTGGTAGTTTTGGGCAACCTAATTTTCAGAGTAACTAAGTATCCAAAAATGCAAGTAAATCTCCTAGAACCATTCTTGTATCTTCCTTTGGTCATGATAATTTTTTTGTTTGCAAGCCTGAAAATAGAGACAACTTTGGAATTGTAGGAAGTTTGTGACATCTGGGAAGGGGGGGCGAAGAGATTCCGTTCATGCAAAGCAAAGAAATATGAAACACTCTTCTATAAATTCGCCATGATCCATTTCCCATGCCCAATTAAGATGCCAATATATCTTTAGCCTGACTTATGTCTCAGTTTAAACTTGGTATTGCTAAAACAACATTCCTAATCTCCACCCCTTCCCTCAACTTGCATTCTTCTTTTCAGCCATTCTAAAAAATAACAGTATCATACTCATCAATCAAGCTTACCATTTGGACATTATATTCACCTAGATGGATTTTATTCTGTCATATCAAGTTATTTCTAAGTCTCATAGACACTTCCTGAAAAAAAGCTGTAAATATTCTAATCTATCTCTTGAGTTAAATTGTATCCAGGTTCTGAGCACCTGATGCCTGAAGCCTCAACAAACATAATTCTGTCCTGTCTTCTTTCTTCTTCATATTTTCTCTTGACTCTCATCTCTTTTGCAATGTCTATAAATACTCGATAACATTCAAATTAGATGGGTGCCGCAAACTACTGCCTATAACATCATTAGTTTCTTTTCAATTGCCTTTTTACTTATCTATTGAAAATTACCTGCTTAAAGGAGTCACTTTTTCTTTTATATATGTACAGTAGCTCTTGCGACTACACTAAGATTAAAAAAAAAGATAGCTACTATATTTAAATCCAATTACTCAAACCATTCTGAAAGTGAACAGCTTTTTAAAAATACTTTGAAAGAGCTAGCTCAGTTCTAGCCAAATATCAGAGTATTCTTGTGAAAGCCATCCCCATCTTTATTGAAGATAATGGCCTGAAATAAAGGTACATTTGAAAACATTTGGAGCCATCCTTCTTTATAATACTCCAAGGTATAGATTTTAAATGGGACCACTGTTTACCTCTCATCTTTACTGAATTGATAATTTACTTTATTCCAGTTTGGTTACCCTATAAAATGAAACTAATGTCTTCTAATAATGGTTGGCACAGAATATTGTGCTACTTGGACATGTTTACATGAATTTTACATAAATGAATAAGTAAAGTAATGGTGCCTGTCAGTGTATTATTTATCATTACATACTGAATTGTAAGTGCATGGCCAGAGCTTGCTAGCAGTGAGAATCTGCACAGGTTTCTCTAGCAAATGGATTTTTTTCTGTGATTTATCTTCAGCTGCAACCTAGTGGCCGGCTGTGATTCAGCTGTCAGTAAAATAGAACTGTGATGTTACAAAACACCTGCAGACTCACTGCTCTTTAGGGTTGTGTTATTGTGATCCTGTGCCAGACTCATTCAGGCAGGTACGACTGAGTGGGGACCTTCAGAGGCCTCCCGGAGGGAGGTGCAGGAAGGCACGGGTGTCCCGTTAGATCTCTGTCACATCTGCCAGAGCCAGGCAGGTGTTTCAGATGTTCTAGTGCATCTCTAAAGGTATTGAAGTCTGTGAGCAGTTGTGTTGAGTCCCTGGGTCATATGTTAACCTTCCTGTAGACACCTATAATGGGTGTGAATTGAGACAGAAATACTACTCAAGGTGTCTAGACTGTGTTAGTTCACACTGACTGACAGACAGTGGAGAGAGGAATATTCCCTGAAAGTCGATTAGTTGATCTTAAAAACAGCAAATTAAATGATCCCTGGATATGCCTTGAAGACAATTTAATGTAGTAAACCAGGCTAAAGTAATGCTATAATAGATAAGTAAAGTTTGTGGAAATAATTCCTGTCCCAAAACAAAAAAGAAGGAAATAACAAGGAAATGGAGCTCATTATTTTTACTTTATAAAGTCTGTCTGCTGACACAAGAAAATGGATTGAATGGAGTGGTTCATCAGCACTGAAAGCACATGACCCTGTCAGATGAGGTGCAGAAATAGCTCCTAAGTTTTGGTACAGATCAATCTGAATAGTCTGTAGCCCATGTTTTAGAAACGTGCCTGCGTGTGCCAAACCCCAGTATAATATGCCTGAATTCCCTTCTTATTGTTAAATTTCCCATGTATTTGCAGATAGCCATGAACTGGGACTGAGCTTGAAAAGAAATCGGAATCACTTCACAACTCATTCTGACAAACTGAAAGGGTGAAGAATCAACGTTAAGAAGCTTATTTCTGAATCTACATGTGCAGAAGTTGAGAATGAGCAAGATACCAGGGTGAACCCAGCAATAAGAGACAGGAATTGGTGGCTGAACCAAACCCAATCTCCAGGAAGACAGTAAAATTAACTCCAAAGGAAAAGATTCTTACTAAGTATAGCCAACTAGTTTTTGGTTTATTTTTCAGTTTCCCTGTTTGCTGCTTTGTAACTAGAATAAGAGAGGTGGCACATCACCCAGATCCCAGAGTACAAGCTTTCAGGATGCAGTTCATTTCACTAAACTGCTGTCCAACAGTCAGCCTGACAGTCTAAGGTGGTTGTCTCAATTTCCACCGCATTAATTACATCCAGGGATAGTTTTATCAATCTTGTTTTGGGGTACATCTTTGAATGGTATGAACTCATTTGGGGAGGTGCCCATTTCTCCTTGCTAACCATGAATGTTTCAGACAAGATGTCGTGGGTTGAAGTGGCTGGGTTTTTGGTAGTGGGGGGACTACATAGGGTGGCTTCGGTTAGAAGCTGCTAGAAGTTTCCCCCCCAGTGAAGCCAATGATAGCTGGCTACAGTAAGGACTTCCTGCTGCTGGCCAAAGGAGAGCCAATAATTATACCTCTGTGATAACATATTTAAGAACAAGTTTGTTATGCAGAAGAATTTTCAAGCCAGGGGAGAGCTGACCAAAGCTCCCGGGTGGCTCTGCTGCCTCCCCTGCCACGGGGAAGGCCGGGGGGCGGTGACGGCAGCCAGGCCCAGGCCTCTCAGCATCTATCCTGGAGCAGGCAGCAGCACCCCAGCCAAGCCACCCATGCTGCTCTTGGCAGTGCTGGCTGAGCCAAGTGGTGACCCCTGTGAAGGGGTGGCTGGGGCTGTGGCCAAGGCTGGGGCACGTGGCCCTGCAGAGAGCAGCCCCGCAGCCCCCTGAGCTCACTCTGTAAGCAGCCGGTGCTGGAGCCTGTCCTGCCCGAGGAGCCGAACAGCACCAACAGCGCCAAAGCCCCCAAGGTGAACTGCAAAGGGTGAGGGGGTGCCCCGCGGGCTAGGCCAGGGCAGCACAGTAGCCCCTGCCGGCGGGCACTGCCCTCTCTTCGCCTCTGGCCGAGTTGAGCCCGGCCGGGCCGGGGCAGCCCACCACAGTGCAGCCGAGCCCATGCTGGAGCAGATGGATGCATGGAAGAAGGCTGTTACCCCCATGGAAGGCCCAAGAGAGCAGAGTCCTTCAAGAGACTTGTGGCCCGTGGAGAGGAAAAACCATGCCAGAGTGGGTTAGTCCTGGGTAGGACTTATGCCCCTGTGGGAGATCCACATCAGTACAGCTCACCCTATGAAGGACTGCATCCTATGAAGGACCATCAGGGTGCAGAGACCCCTCCCTGCACCCCGTGGGGAAGTTACCCTTGGGACAGTAGATATGGAAGAACTACTGCCTGAGGGGTGGACCCACATTGGAGAGGTCTGTCAAGGACTGTTACCCATGGGGGAACCCCACGGAGCAGGGAAAGGACTCAGATCTGTGCTCTCTGCCCCGTAACGCATGGAGAAGGCCGTGGTGAAGCAGACTGTCCCCCTGCAGCCCATGGAAGAGTGATAGCAGATTTGGAAAACCTGTTGCTCCAGGAGTGGACTTGTCCCTCTGCACTGCTACGGGGGGAGGAGGGAGAACATGGAAGGAAGGAGGGGTGGGTAGAAAGTGTGTTTAAGACTGTTTTATTTCTCACTCTTTAGATCTTATCCTGTTATTAATAAATTTTAGTATTAACCCCATGTTGAGTCTGTGTTCCCTGTGTGACCTCTTCCAGCTCAGAGTGACTTTAGTGGATGCCTAGAATCTGGCCAAGGTTAACCCATGACACTAGACCACCACTGTGTGATTGCAAAGGAAGTCTGGATGAACTGTTCCCTCCGCATAAAAAAACCTTAGCAGCTAAACAACAGCCTACAGCTTAACATTAAAGTACACAGCTTGAGTTAGGAAGTTATAGATAAGGATAGATTAATAGGAATAAGATTTCCTTTGTCACATTCCTGAACTGCACAAATTGGTGTGGTGTAGGATCCTAGCCTTATGTTGGGAAGAAGCTCCTTTTTTGAGTTACTTTTCATATTCCCAACATCCTGAGCAACACCACTACATCTGCATTCAAACTTATTGCTCATGTTTAAATTGGCTTAATTAGTAACATTGATTGAAGTGAGAATCATGGTGGTGGGGGACTTACATAATAAACTTTCAATACTTTTTGCTAATTTAATTCTGAGTTGCCAAACACTGGAATGATAGTCGTGGATTCTCAAGCAAAATGGAGGAATTATTGTATTGCACCTTGGCCCACGTTCTATCCTACCCCAAGCTAATTCTAACATTAGGTCAGATAGTCAGTTAAACAGAAGCAGTGTTTTAAAACAGTCTTATCTAAGCAACTTGTTGTGATACATGAGAGCAATTTCTTACGCCTGCTTAAACGGGAGCCACCCTGAATGTAAGTCAGTGACACACTGGATCATGGGCTATTCTCAGTTGACCTTTGGGGGAATGTTTGCATCCACTCTGAACTTCTTCCATTGAACACAACCACAGTCTCCTCTTCTCTAGAAGAACTGTTATGCCTTGGGCTTGGTAAGGTTTTAGCAGATGATTCCCTCATATCAATAGATTTCACAGTGTCACTTCATATCTACGAATAAAATTGTCATGGCTGTAAGTTTTTTGAGCTTTAGGTTTCAAACTTCTGTTCACACAACAATTGTGCCTTGGGTAGGATCTAAGTTTGTCACAATTCTCAGAGGGGAGAGGAGATGCTAAAAAGGACTGACCCATCAACAGGCTTTCTGTAATTTCCCTTGCATGCAAAGAGATCTGTTCCAAGTTACTTTTGCTGAGAGTTCACATTCAACATGCAGAACTGAGATTTGATTACACAGTTTATCACACCCCTGAGTTTAAATCAGGAGTAACACTCCCCTGTGCTTATCAGGGCCACTGTGCTGCATACAAAAACTACCAAAGCTCCTCCTCCATCAAGTGAAGAGAATCCACATAAACATCAACAATCAAGGTGGCAGGTCCTGCTGTGTCTCAGCACCCAGCTTATATATATAATTATGACTGTAATGCAGCTATAATTATATAGATTTTATTACATATAAATTAAGTGCATTACAATATAATATACAATATATAATATATAATTATAGCTATGATATAGCTGTATAATATATATGATCTTACCTATGCAAGAAAGAGTATAAGCTATGAGCATATATATAAAAATCATATCTTATACTCTTTCACACATAGATAACTACTAAATCAGGCCTTGCTATGTTTCTAGTTAAATGAAAATAATGTCTTCACCAGCTTTTCTATCAACTTACCTACATCTTTCCCATGTGCTCTGTTCCTGGAGGGGCAGACATTTGTGTTGGTGTGTAACCTTCACAGGATATATGGCATGCACTGCTGTGTGGAGCAGGTCTCTTCCACAGAGATTGCATTTTGGTTATGATTTTCCCTCCACATAACAGAGAAAATAACCTGTTTGAGATTCTCTGACTACTGCTTCTGCATGGAGCAGGATTGCAATGTCTATATT